TCAGCGTTGCGTGCCGTCACGGCTACGACATTGCTGAACCGTGCTCTACAAGGGGAACCGGGAGGCCCCTCCAAACGACCTAAATTGGGAACTCAATCCTGGCGCCGAGTGATAAGACGGTCCAATAAGAGAGTGGCCCCTCACGGCCAGGCCACATTTCGATAGCCGGTCTCACTTCTTCTGGCGCAGGCTGTGTCCTTGAAGATGCGCAGTTCCGTGACAGCCGTTGCGACTCATGTTAAAAGCTAGTTCTTTGGGCCGAACACGTGCCCCATCTTTCACACACTCATAAGGCCAGACAGCTGTTAGGAGACAAGTATCTGTAGCCTCGAATGGTTTTGTAGTGTGTATGGTTGTCAACTTGAAGTTTACTCCGCATGACTGGCCTTTGTTGGGGAGAGGATGTTACAGGACGCGCGGCGCGCCAACTTTGGCCTTTTGGAGACTTGGTGTCTCGCGCAGAGATTCTTTACTCTTTAACCGCGGAATCGACCTTCACGCTGGCGCAACTTTGCAAGTCTGGCGCTGCGCCGTACCTTATGTACTGCGGTCGAATCTCCTCTTTCGTGATCACCTAACTGATCGGGCAAAGCTGCATCAAGCACTGCCGGGCGCCCACACCGGAAGGTTTAACAAACGGATACTTCCAAATGTTCCCAAAGCTCATCGGTCCACTTGGCGTTCAGTCCAACACCCAGAATGACGGGGATCATGCAAACAGGCGACAGCCGTGCTAATTAATTCGCTGCCAGAATTGTGACTGCAATGTTAGGGGATGCTTTTGCCTGGGTCTGGTTTGCCTCAGATCCTTAAAATACATTTCATTAGCAGCAAATTAAGCTTCGAGTATCGAGCTCAAGGCCAGACAAAACCATTGTGCCTCCCATCTCGCCAGCTGTCGCTCTCTTCAATGATACTATTCACGACATCGAAGTCACCCGCGCTGACTGACGAATACCCCCCTTTTTTTCGAGAGCCGTCCCCATCAGTACTCGCTCCACGCAACCGAAGCTGAACGCTGACGATCTCGTACCGGGGCGTCCGCAGCGTGGTCAGATTGGGGGATTCAAGCTCGATTTCGATTCTCGTCCCCTGTCAAGTCCCCGGTTTTAATCTGGCCCCCAGCAGATTCCGTGCGAACCGCCCTGCTATTGTCTGGAGGCCGAGGGGACCTTTTTTGCGACGCTGATCGCCCCCGCCACGACTCGTATTTTCGCAGCGAGGAAAAAAGGGCCAAGCGTTCTGTCCTCTTCTCTTCGACTCGCGGTGGTTGCGAAATCATGATTTCTCGTCAAGACTGGTAGAAAACACAACGGAAAGCGATCGAGACGAACTCGCGCCGCCGCCGCCTTACACTCCTTTTTCTTTCTTCTCTTGCCATGGCCGTGAACCGGTCCATCTTCCGCCGAGCGCTGGCGGCAGCCGGATCCGGTGGCGCCGGGCTGGTCCCGTGTCTCGCCGCGCTCGGGCTGGTGCTCCTACAGGTCGGCGCGGCGGTCAACCTATGGAACTCCCGCGAGCGAGGGCAGTTCAACTTTTCGCCATCTTCGAGTCTGACGATATCCGAGTTTTTGAGGTTCTTGGTTGCGACTTTGTTACTGAAACGCGAGGTTCGCCGACGAAATACCAGCACCGAGTACTCCTCGCTAGGCAACGGGTCGGAGGACTTGGATCTTGGCGCTGATGAGGACGGACGGTCGTCTGACGAGTACGCTGCGGAGAAGCTATCGCGACAAGCTCCTCGCATTGGAGGCGCGAGGGCACTCTGGCGTTATGTCTGGGGAGACGCAGACTTGAGATTCGGACTGATGAGGATTGCTTTACTGCAAATGCTCAGCAACAACTTGGTATGGGACGTCAAAGCGCTTGGCACCTGGCGCCGGCGCAACATTGGATGAGGCAAAAGCTAATATGTTTTCTCAAGTTGTTTCTCAATTATTTGGTCAGCGATCCAGGCACCGTCTCCATCACGAAGAGCGGAATTATGGTCGCAGCAGCTCTCGTCACGACGCCCGCTCTTGGACTTAAGGGCCCCAAAACTCGATGGATGGCTTTCTTGATCCAGGTAGGTCATTCGCATAGCTTTTGATGTTCCAGTTTAGCTGCTAAACAGGAGTAGACGTCGGGTCTGGTACTGTCCCAGTTCTACCCACAACATCGCACGAGGGCATCGACATACCAGCTTCCCCTCTACGTCAGCATTGTCGGCCAGGCCAGCTTCAGTGCCTTATCCGACATTCACAGCGAGAAGCTACTAAAAGCTACCGACTTGAGCTCGAACGGCGCAAACATTGTTTTGGGAGCTTTCGGTGCGATCCTCAACTTGGTCGTGCATGCGCTTGTGCGACTCTACAGCTCCTTCGAACCCACTTTCTTCGGCGGCTACGACAGCAAAGGCTTGTCGGTCGTCTTCATGACCACACTCGTAGCTCTGATCAGTACGGTTGCACACAAGAGTATGTCTCGGCCAAGGTCCCACTTGGGGGTTCTCGAAGAAGATTGCTGACGTTACACAGGGGTCGACTCATGGGTGCGGTGGTTCATTAACGACACAACTAGTGTCGTGTTGATGCTTGTGTCTGCGCACTTCTTCTTGTCACGATACAGCATGTTCCTCATACCTGGCACAGTGCTCATCTTCATCGCTTCGCTGGCATACATGAAGTATGCTCCGTTGAAAGAGTACATTAGTTCGTCTCCCGTGGATGACGCGCCGAACTCCTTCGCGCCGCCTCCATCCTACAAGGTCGGTCATCTTAACAGAGTACTTTGATCAAGGCATTTGATACTAACACTCTTGCAGAAAGCAAAGTTTGGCCTTCTTACCCTTGCCAGCTTCCTCGGCGCAGGCATCATCCCCTACGCAACACTTTCTGAACTCCCGCACACCCCCGAGTACCGACTAGTTATGAGAGACGACACCGACGGACACTGCTCAACACCCCCGGCCGAAATCATCACGCCCTTCACGGATAAGCAAGAACCGTACAAGATCTCGACAGGCCCTGGCAACCTCACTGCCTCTCCCTTTAGCAACACGCTCGCCATGATTCGCTGGAATGCGAAGCGCATGGAGCGCGTGCCCCTCCTCATGAAATACAAGCCCTTTTACCACACCGTCCACATCTCCATGCCGGAGATGGTCGAGGATAAACCCGAAGACTGGCACAATCTCACGCACTCGCAGTACCCACACCACGAAACGATTTACATGCAAGTTGCCAGGACGATGAAGCTCATACTCGACGAGCAACCCGATATCGAAGGGTTGATGTACTTCCACTTCGACTCATGGATCGACCCGATGGCTTGGGTCGATGAGAACCGCGAGTCTATCTGGTTCCCGACATCTCACAACACGCGGCAGTTCGAGGGCGACGGCCCGCGGTACATGTGTATGACGGACTGGCAGAAGTTTCCGCAATGGTGGGGTTGGTATCACAAGTGGAACGAAAAGGCCGTCACCGTCAACGGCGAGATTATCCGGATGAACCGCGGCTACACGATCGAGGAAAAGGAGTTTTGCGTAGGCTGGTCAGACATTTTCTACATTCCTCGACGCTTCTTTGCCGACTTCATTTTCCTGTCATCCGTGTACGGATGCGCGGACCTGTTTCACGAGGTTGCGATTCCGACGATGCTCAATATTATTGACCGGAGCCGGAGGAGTGAGAAGGCCAAGTTCCAGTCGGTCATCGACCGAATCGGAGACTGCTGGGGAGGATGCTGCGATGATTCAGCGACGGCCCATGACGTCAAGTGGACAAGGTGTGGTCACAGGTTGAATTACTTGAACCAGGAGGTGATTGATGCGCATTACAGCCGGTTGGACGAGCAAACTGCATGGCTTGGCCAGGCTGAGAGACAAAAGTCTGGGGGCGAGAGGCGTTGATGTTTTGTTTTGTGGAACATAGGACTATTGGAGCATTAGAGTGGACATAGCGTGTATTTGCTTCTGGCATCTGTAACATTATTGAGGCGTAAAAGTATCTAGCATTGAACTGGACATAACCTGAAGAATTAAAACACGACAATTACCCCTTGAGTTGATTGAAGGTACTATCTGTTCACGTGGAAGAGTAAATCAGCAACTTGAAGTATGTGTGGATGTCGGAGCTTCGAATTGAACTATCAGAGCTGATGGGAGGAGGGGTTCCAAGGATGATAAGCTTGAGGTGTTGTGTATCTTGGCTGCGTCACTGTTTATATTCAACCATGGGTAGTGTTTGTTCAAGGTGGCTCGGCATGTGCCTGACGAACACTTCCCTACGTCAATCTATCACTGACATGGACAAAGAGAGACCGCTTGAATCTCTCTCTAGTGGGACCAACTCGAATGCCCTCCTACCACCTACCCGTCAGAATTGGTATGTGTCTCGATACGCTCAGGTCATAGACTCATGATGGTAAGTGAGTGCGTTAATTAGGTGGGCCAAGTCAACTATCACCGACTGAAATGATTTCAAGCTAATAACTGCTGTCTACTTATCCACCTGATCCAACTTGGCAATGTGGTCTTGTAGTGGCTTAATCTGTCCTCCAGTCTGTGCTGACGATTGATTGTAAGGGGTTCTTGATGTTACACAAGTGATCTACATGTGGACAAAGTACCGTAGATGAGCAGGCATGGTCATCATTACATATGGACCCGAAGAGGAATTTGATTGATGAAACTTCTAATAGTGGACTCTTCCAAGGAAAGAACAAAGGCGCTTGGGCTTGGTGGCCGCTGTTTGCTCCTTCCATCGTTACTCAGTCAGCCCAACTTCGCAGGCAGCGAGGGCGGTCGAACGGAAATACTGGAGAGCTTTGTGTATTCGAACACCTTAATGGAATACACGTTTAGTATTTAAATATTTAATCAGTAGCCTGAGAACCTCCTACCTTCCTTGGACATCTCACCTTCCACCGCCTTTCCTCGTTGACAAAATCTCCTTTCCATGTCACTATTGACATTATCAAAGTGCCACAATCAAGAGACAGACATCACAAACTCGAAAATGAGATTCCAGGGTAATTTCACTCAAGTCTACTCAACCAATTATCATGAAAGAAGCCTGACAGTAAACCCACAGTTCTTCTCACTGGCGCTGCCGCCCTTGCCATTGGCGTCGCTGCTGGCCCCAGTATGAACCCTCACAAGATCCGTCAGGACCTCAACGACAGAGATGGAGTCGACACTATCAACACCGAGGCTAAGGACGCCATCCTCCATAGTCGCGAATGCGACATCGTCTGTCCCGTTAGCAAGCTCTGGTGCGAGTATCGCCCTTACAACTACCGCTGCGATAGTTCCGGCAAGCTCCGCTATGATCAACGCCACACCGACTGCGAAAATGCGTCTTGGGGCTGCACCTGTGGCTGTGACTGGCGAGTCCCCGGTATTGAGTCTATAGAGGAGACGGTGGAAGCTTAGGAGCATCGAACATGGAAGTGACAAAGATGAATCATCATTGGAATGCATTACAGATGCGGTATCATGGGTCGACATCATAGGGACTAGTCAAGTTTGAGGACAAGATTCACAAGGAAAGACCAAGTCCCAAATTGACAAGTTCACGCTATGCCATAAGACCCGATAAAGACGAGGTAAACAACGGAATCAATTTCCTGCCCTGTGGGCTTGTGTATGGTCTGTACACACAATGCGCTTCGTTCATAGTGAATGAGGCCAGTCCATTAAGTTGTTATTCCTATGTCCTCGGCTACATATGCTCCTCAAACAATTATGAAAAGGTTTTTGTGTTCCTGGCCTTGGCTCAGCATGTTGACCTTTCTCTCCACACTTTATTTAGCTGATCCTGTTTCGTGGTTATCACTCCCTGCTTCTTGGAGCTCGAGGTTATAATCTTCTTTTCTACACACGTGTGCTCTTTTGCCACACACATGTATCTACGCCGCAAAAAGAGGCAAGACATATAAGACAGCTAACCACAGACACCACAGCTTCGCCACGATATCGTCAGACTTCTCATTCCGTCTCATCATGGTCAATGAAGCCATCAAGGCTCCCACTCCCAAAGGAGCCGCCCAGGCTGCCGCTTGAAGGTTCCAGAACAGCGGACACGCAGTGGACCACAGTAAAACCATCACGGCCAGCCCGCCGCGGGCAATCCCTTCGCCGTATAGCAGAGGAATAGTCTTGCGGCCCCTAGCTTGATCTCCCTCCATATCTGGGAAATCCAGCGCTTGAACTGTTGTAGAGATGACGGCTCCAGTCACCCCAATCCAAGCCCATGCCTTCGGAAGGAGATCACCTCCAGAGATGACCTCCAAAGCCCCAGCACTGAAACACATGATACCGCCTGTGTTGATCGCGTTGCGCGCCCAGATGTTGATACTGCTTCCGTCGAGATCGTTGTACATCCATAGAAGCGTCATCATCGACATCGTTGGTTTGAATCCACCCACAAACGCGCTCACTGTAACCACGAGAGGTATCATGCCGAGAAGAAGTCGTTGGGCTTGTGCGGGCGTCAACCGCTTCGCAGCCAGTGGCCGCCATGGTTTGTTGTGCTCGTCTTCGACGATGGAGTCCGCGAGTCGTTGGTTTGAGATACCGCACACGATCAAATTGAGCCATATCCACAGGATTGCCAGCAGTAGTCTCTGAAAATTTGGGTATTTCGTATGATCGAATTCTGTCGTGAGTTTGTGACGACTGAAGACGGCTGCTGTGATGAAGATAATTTGAGGCGCTAGTACGGTCTTGATGTCGCTTCTAGTGAACAAGTAGAGAGTCTTGAGATGAAAGGATGCTGTTTGTGCCTGAGAAGGATCAATACAGTGCTTATGGGAGCTTTGCGCAATGTCCAAGCGAACATGTTTTCTTACCAAAGTCCTGCGCTTGGGTACAGATCTGTAAGAGTCCGGTGCGGGAGCGCCCGAAGGCTTCTCGGCCAAGATATTGTTGTCGACAACTGTCATAATGTCGGTCGTATGACAGTAATTTCCTGACAAACCAAAATGTCGCTGAGGATCTGGACTGTCAACGCTCATGAGGCCGGCTGGAAGGTGGAAATCAACCTACTATTTCAATCAGTCGCCTGACTACCAAGGGCGTGGGGAAGTCCGCGCCGAAGATGACAGTCTGCTTGGCCGGAAAGTCCAAAAATTGTGGATGTGACGACATCGTCTGATGTTGCCGTGTCTGCGCGCCTCGCAACATTGAGAACTGTATCCTGGTAAAAGACTATTGGAGGATTTCCGTGAAGCAGGCCGGGTTACCCGAAGCTGTGGGACGAAATCCAAAAGGGGAATCCAGTCGGGGGCATTTACTGAGGATAACTCTTTCAACTAAGTCTAATCCCGGTATAAGATTTCGGGAAGCTGAACTTTAGTTGCCCCGTAGGTCGGCGTGAGGGTCGAACTAGCAAACGCAGCTTGTCTCGGGTTGGCCGCACCGCCGCAGCACTTCCCTCTTGAGTCGAATTGAGCCATGTTACATATTCCGAACACGTCTCCAACCTAAATTGTGGAGAGCTGAAAAGTCCGCGGCCTTATAACAGATAATGAGCATCTTGCGGTGATAAGCTTCAGCTCTCAAGTTCGACGCCACAGTCTCGTTTGGTCTAGCCCTGCGCTCCACAACATATCAACATGTTCACCGCCTAGAACACTAAAAAGTCAAGACACGCATCAACCTAGACTACTGGATGAGATCGAGAATACGAGACTGATGGAATCGATTCCGGGCTCACCGTCAATGGCTGACATTCGATATTTGGATAGATACAAGGCATTCGACCACATTCTACTAGCAAGGGAAGAGAAAGCTGTCTTCCGGAATATATCGGACATGACGTGGTCTGCGAGTAAGACCTATTTATCCGCAAGACTGCTCATAATACCAAGTAAAGCAGCAACGACTAGAAACGGTCAGCGCGCTCCGTCCGAAGCCCACGCACTACGGAACGTAGGATACTTACAACCTCCCGCTGTCACAATGTAGGATGCGATAGACCAAGCAGTCTGTATGGTGGTTAGGTCCGTCCAGTCCTTTGAGTTGAACCAGAGTCCAATGACAAGGCTTAGCACCACTGGTATGAGAATCACGACGGCAATCCTAGTGACGGACCAGCCCAGCACAAGTTCAAGTGAGTACTTTCCGTTGAGTACGTCGTGTGAGTTGTTGTTCAGTTCCTGGTGAATCCAGTCCCCCCAGGCAAGTGCAATGTGTTTAGGGACTCGCCATTGCTTGTACGTATGCAGAAACAATTGCAAGTCTGCAGCGCCGTTGATGTCGAGGTCAACACGATCATGAGTCCCTTTCTGGGCACCGCACTGCAGATGAAGTTACATTAGCGACACATTGAACACGATATATATGTCGTCTGCTACCTAGTAAGGTCATTCGGCTTCAGGCGACTTACTTTATATAGCCGGAATCCTTTCACGTGTCTTAGAGAAAAAAAGGTCTTCCAGAAACCTCGAAGAAAGAGAATTTCCCAACCCAGCTTTCGAAACAATCGTTTTGGCTGGTTGCAGAACATGATCCTTTCGACTGGGTTGGGTTGGCCGCGGGGAAAGATACCTAAAACCACATAGACCGGTAGGGCTCGGGCTATTGAAATTCTGACAGACGTTCGAGATATACCAAATAGGCGATAAGTTAGCGCAATCTCCTTTGCTCTATAAGTCTGAATTTCGTTGGGAAAACGTTCGGCTGGTGGTTTGGCGCCACCTATCTCGATATCATGCCCTTCATCCAACTTCGCCAATCGTCGAAATTCGGCTGGATATGGAAAGCTGTCTTCGCGTGTGATCCCGACAGAAGGAGAAGGCCTATCACGACCCTCGAAATGGGCTTTGGTGTACCCTCGTTGTGATCGGATGCACTGATTCCGCTGACTAAGGACGTATTCGTACGAATACAGCCCCTTAGAGACATCTAGGTTAAATTTCCAGGTCCTTTCCGGAATAGGTTCCGCCGGCGCTCGCTTTCCTAGTGATATTTGTCTCTGTAAGGCATTGTTTGGCGATTGTCCGTGGATACTAGCATGATTATCTTGCCCGTCCGTAGTCGGCATTGCTCCAATCTCGTTAGTGCTCATGTTGGCAGCGTCTGCCATTTTTGTTACTATTTGATTCTCTGGAATGTCTCGGCCAGTATAGAAACACAGAGAGTATATTCCGGGAAGATGGACAAACACAAATCGAGGGGTGTAAGAATGACCTCGAGACGGATGCTATGCAAACGAGAAGAAATGCCGATAGCATCCTTATCGGGCCCCAGGAGATTGACTAGTTGTATGCTAGCGGCCCATGGGATTGGATTCTGTCTCACTCGAACCTCACTAAATTGTTCAGCTGCAAGCCACCCCTAGCTTAGCTGCGTCTCAGCCGTGAGAACCAACGAAGCTCATTTGCTAACCGCGCGAAAAGGAAGTATTGAAGAGAGAGGATACGCTGTAGGAGTGGCCAGTCTCGCATGTACTTGACTTTATTCTCCAACAAAGCACGCTGGATGCAGGGTGCTGCTAGAAGCTTATCGTACTTGGATATGTCCATCGTAACATAGAATACCAGCGAATGTCTGAATTGCAAGGCAAAATTAGGCTTTAGTCCCTCAAGACAGAGCATATACGGAAAGAACTTTGCACGAGGGGTCAATTTTGTTGGCCCGGTTAGTATAGTCAATGTCGAGCTCAAGTCTATTGTGCATGGACTCTTACGTCGTCCTAGGTACTCAATAACCATGTATCTCAAAGTGCTTAAGTGCTACGACTTGGGCGCATAGGATGTTCACTGTCGGTATTCAGACTTGTTTGAACGTGGGAAAGGTTTATTTTACTGTTATCCAGACATTACTAATACTATCCAGAGTCATAATTCGTTCATCGTATCATTCCTCCACTAAAATATTCACCAATTAACCGAAGACTTACGCCTGCACAGGGGTAATCTGGGCGGTAGCCTTCAAGTCTCTGCTGCTCCATCCCAGGCTGAGGGTGAACTCGCCCTCGGGAATGAGCCACTGCTGGGAAGCAACATCCCAGTAGCTGAGATCGCGACGCATCAGTTCAAAGACGACCTTCTTGGTCTCACCGACGGCAAGGGGAACCTTCTCGAAACCGCGAAGCTGTTTGGGAGGAGTTCCGGCGGGCGTGGAGTTGGGGAAGGTGACGTAGAGCTGGGGAACGGCGGCACCCTCGACATCGCCAGAGTTGGTGATGGAAACGGTAGCGTTGTAGATGGTCTCCCAGAGGGCGGGGTTTCCACCGGGTTCGACGGGGCGCTGCTCAGGGGCGGAGGTGACATCCTGCTCGACGGGGCTAGCCTCGAAGTCGGCGACCTCGAAGGTGGTGTAGCTGAGACCGAAGCCGAACTCGTAGCGGACAGAGATGTTGTGGGCGTCGAAGTAGCGGTAGTCGATCTCGAGCTTCTCGTCGAACCAACTCTGCCAGTCGTACCAGC